CGAGATTACTGGTGTTATCCCACGTCGCGATGGCGATTGATTGATAAAAAATTATGATATCGAGAAGATTGATTGGTCCGCTTTGAGAAGGTAAACTCATAGATTAGAATATGAACTATTATAATAAAAGTGACAGTTTTGCGATAAAAAATAATGCCACAAAATTCAACATTTTTCACATAATGTTGTAAAAATTAAAAAAAAAATTAATAAAATTACGTTGCATATTTATTGTGTGAATTATGTAGAATTATAATATTAAACAGTACCGTAATGCCACAGACACTGATCAATTTTGTTATCGTTATCTCTTCCGACACCTGAGCAACAATCAACTATTTGTTGTTTTTTCTCCCTTCCATTCGACCTTATCACTATTGCGAGTACCGCTAGAATTGCGCTCCGCGAGATTACGCATCCGCGATGTTAGTGATTCAGAAAACATTGACATTGATCGCGGTGATCGTGTATGACATGCTTAAAATTCCTATGAACATACCTACATTCGGGTGGAAAAGTGCAAGAAAAAGAGAAAAAAAGCGAAACAATACAGGCGAGGGAGGACAAGAAGCGAGGACGAGATATACTCGTCTTGCGCGCGTCGTCTTCTGCCAGATCCCTCGTCTCTCTCTCCCCCTCAGGAACCTCATCCATCAGTCACTTAATATTTCAAAGCAGCGCCCTGCGTAACGTCCTTCCTCCCCCTCCTACTCCCCCCTTTGTCCCTGATCCGGTGAGATGCGCGGACGTCGTCGTGAACCCCACATCGCCCTTTTTAAAAGCTTAAAACACCAAAGCGGAGTTATCCGCTGTGCATCAACACCACTACGCCCGAACCGGCAAGCAGGCAGGCAGGCAGGCAAAGTTTTCAGACTTTGCTGAGGGATATTAGAGCGCGACGCGAGCTCGACGAACGACGTGATGTCTCGCGTCGATTTCGTGGGGAGAAAACCTCTCGCGGGGCATCTCCCATCTCCCTCTCCTTTCCACCCGGCGCTTCTTCTCTGCCACCGCTCGAAATTCAAATTTCTCGTTTCACGCGACCGAATGGGATTCTTCCCTTCTCCCGTGTGAGCACCTGCCCGTGGAGTGCGCGCCGCAGTCGTCGGACTCGAGATCGATTCGCTCTGCGTCTCGCGAGGAGGCTGACGAGAAGGGTGGAGGGAGAAGGAACGGTACTCGCGGATACGAAGATAAAGCCTGTTGTTGTTTTTTCCCCCCTTTTATCGCTCGTTGAGATGCGATCGGATTGTCCGGACTGATTCAAGCGGAAGATGAGTTCGATGTAAGAATGTAATTTTGACTTTTAGATACTTCATATGCGACTCGAGAGTCACTCTCACGGAATGAGATTGCGGAGAGTTTCATGCGGACGGAAAAACTTACGATAGAATAGCTTCTAAAGAGAGAAACTCCTGAAAATAGCTCGCAAACAGGGAAATTCTAGAAAATTGCTAATAGAGAACAAAACTCTTGAAATTAACGCTCCGTGAGAAAACGTGTTTTCGATAATCGTCAAAAGTTTTATTGATATTTAGAAAGTAACACTCACATTTCAATTTATCTTTTGCAAAATTTCCGTATTTCTTAGCTAGTAGTAAAATTACATTTAATTTTGTAGAAAAAAGTTTGTAAAAAAATATACTATTAGAAAAATGTGGAAAGTTAAATATGCAAAAATTTTTTTTGACACATGATATAAATGAGAAAAAAAATGTAAAAAAGGATATAAAAAGCAGTCTTTTTAACATATTAGAAATATTCTAAAGCATTTAAAACTTAGTGTAATAAAAGAAGAAAGTAATTTATAATAAATGAGAAAAAGAAATATAAAGTCTATATGAAATAATCTTTGGAAATCCAGCTAAAGTGACATGAGTCAAATTAAACACTATTAACCTGAAGTATAAAATTGTTGTGATAACATGTGTTCCTTGCATCCATATCGATGACGACATATTAACAGATAACGTGAGTTATCTCTCTTATATTTATATGAATTTAATTGCAAAGGTAATTCACACGATAATTCATCATATACAACTCTGTGCCATTTATATTTGTAATAATAATAATTCCGTATTTACGTCATCCACACGTGTATGAAATTTATAAGTGAAGCATCAATGATAACATTGAATTTCTGTTAAATTATTGTGAAGTGCTAAAAGTGCTATTGTATTTTAATATTTCATCGTAAAATATTTGTAGATTGCATTGAAAAATTCTATAACGTGTTAAATATCATATTCAACAATTTTATTTACGATGATAAAAGCATTATAGTATAACAAACTCATATCGAAGAAGTTAAATGATAAATCAATTCAGTCAATTGTTGGAGCACTCGAGAGATAATAATTGCGAAAAGTAAATAAATATAAGATTAATTGTAAACATATTCGATATTAAAAGTCCGGTGTAAAAAAGTAGGCAAATTTATACCAGCGTAATAAATGAATTATTTGTCTTCATGAATATATATAAAAAAACAATATAAAAAAGATTATAAGAAGTGTGGATGTTTCTCTCGAGATTATAAAAGATATCATATATTAATATAAAGTAAAATTACAATTTTGTAGTTTGTAATTTTATTTTTTATTATAAAATATCTTTTTTGCCCCAACATTTGCGCTTAGCTCTCACAGCTCTTTTCCTGTGTATTTTAAAAATCATTTATCGTTTATTAAAATAAAAGATAGCTACTTTGTATTATTATATTATAATTCAACGTACTCAACGTATCTCCACATATTTAATATTTTACTTCAGAACGTCTTGTTTTCGAAACTTTCGAGTGATATTTCAGATGTCGATGAGCCTGATTTCTATGCCCGCTACCGTCGATTATATTCCCATGGCAAATCGGCGAAACTCGCGAGTTCATATTTTTCGCTCCGATCGTTGTTGAAGACCACGATCGTGACTGCCGCGAGATAAATTGGTGTAGACTTCTTTGCCGTAATTATAAATAGGGTAGGAAAGCGCGCGGTATGGGCCTGGTACATGTCGTGGACAGTGCCCGAAGCGGCGCGGAGGATGTTTCAGGAATATCGAGGACGTAATTATCCCATAATTACCGAGCGCGGTCTTGAGCAGCTCTACGTCTCGGCGGTGATCCGAGTGGGGGTAGTTAGTGGTTGGCCTTGTGCAGTAATTGTACTAATTATTACTGCCCAGCCCCTCTCGCCCCCGTTGCCCCCCTCATGCCGGTTTCCTTCCCCCGACCGCCCAATTACCCCCCTGGTGGCCCGCGCGCGCGAGCGCGAGAGTCCCGGACTCGCGGAGATTTCAGAGCGTCGTTTCTTGGAAAAAAATCTTTCTTAGCGCCCGAGAGAGATGTCCGCCGGCCGTCATAAAATTGACGGTGGGAGGTTTTCTGGGAAATCGTAATTAATTTACGGCCGCATAAATTAGAGATAATCAACAGGGAACTAGGTATGTGAGCGTAAATCGGAGTCCGAATACAGTTACGCGTTGCGATGTGGTGGTCGCAAAAAAATAAAAGGCAATATGTAACTGTATATCTTTGCAGAAAACGTGCGATAATTATTACCAGTCGTAATATTAATGATCCTCCAGATTATCGATATTTAAATTCCAAGAATGTCTTTTAGTTTGAAATTAATTTCATATAAATTTCTGGTCATAATCGTTAAGATATCATTAAGATATTTCGTATATTAAGCGAAATAACAGCATTGAGCAATGAAAAAATATTATTTACTATTGTAATTTATCAAAAAACGAATAAAAAATAAGATATCTATCCTGACACTAATATAGTAACTCCTGAAGAGAATTTCTAGAAAAATGTTTAATATATAATTGTCTTGTTTCATGTACATCATTAATTAGTCATTTCACTACTTCTTGAATAATTGGAAAAACCGACTTATTTGTAAACTACGCTTTTGTATGTTTTATGGATCGCAAATATTTCCAATATATTCCATTGTTATAATTACACGCCAAATTTTTTACAACAATTTAATCAAATAAATTCATAGTTATCTGAATTTATTACGGGATTAAATTAGGTCACGTTACACCGTAATGTATCCCGTGACGTTTACGGCCCTGGGACGTTCAAGCACCGACGTGACTCTAAAGCGGCGATACGGGAAGCAATGCCGTGCGCAGGGGAGGAGGTTAAAGCATAAAGTTCGCAGCATTGCAATGAAGCAAGGTGCGAGATAAAACAGTA